GGATCAGCCGAGAGGGCTCCCACCTCCTGGAAAGGGTTTGTGTCTGGATTTGGGAAGCGTCCGATCGCTTGGGACTCCTCTGCCCTCACCCAGAGGACATGTCCCTTGCTGGGACGTGTCTCTTGCTGCTTTCTTGCCCAAAGCAGAGCTGGCAGCAGAGCTTTTATCCCAGCTTCCTTAAAGCAGCTGAATCCACGTAGGCTGGTGCCTCCCATGCGTGTGTTGGATGTGAATCCAAAGGAGTTTCCCACTCGGAGCTCACTCGAGACGCTTCCTGCCTGTGGCTGAGAATAGAAGGTGGTCCTAGGGAGACTGGAAATACACATTTTTTTCCATCTTTAGCAATATTTGGGCCCTTGGATAGTTCGGGAAGGGGACGGAGGGCGAAGGGGAGTTCCTACACAGGCCGGCGTGTGCCACGTGGCCCCTGGTGTCCCGGGTCACCTCTGCCTCCCATTTTCCGCATGTTTTTCCAACCTTTTGTGCCTGCCGAGGCAGCATTCCCTGCTCCTCGGGAAGCAGCAGCACAGGAGCTGCAAGGAGGAGGGAATTGCCTGCTGGTTCCCTGGCTGACTCTCCCGGAGCTGAGGGTGTTAGGAAACAACCAGAGCTCCGACTGATGCTCCGAGCAGCACAGTCGGACTTTGCAGCCGCTCAGGTGTTGGCTGCCTATCTTCCCTCTCGGAATCCAAGCTGTCTCCAGCCCTAAATCCAGGTTTTGCTCCTGCTCTTGCTCCGTGTCAGTCCCCCGAGCTCCCTGCACAGCCTCTCATGTCACTTGTGTGACTTGGTGGCTCTTGCAAATGACATTGGTGCTTTTCCTTCACTAGGACATAGTGAGCTCCGTGGGCTGATGCTCCCATTCCTTTGGGAGCAGCCACACTCTGGAAGATGAACTCAGACGAGGGAAGATTGTAGAAGGCATTAGTGCAGGAGACGGGATGGAGCCTGGGGATGATGCTGAGAGCTTAAAGCATAAATATGGGGCGAATGGAAATGTAACAGCCCCTGCAATGAACAGCCCAGCCTCAAAGGAACCTGTTGTGTGTTTGAAGGAGGAGGAAATCCTCCCTTTCCCTGCTCGTTGTTGAGGGAATGAAATTGAATGTTAATGCATTCCCTGGTCTCCAATAACTTGACCCTTCCAGTGGGCTGGAAGCATCGTATGAACAGCAGAGAGCCAAAGCATGATGAAAACTTCCCCGTTCTGTTTGCCCGCAGATAAGTGCTGTGCGTTTGCCCCGGGAGCCCACCAACCCCGAGAGGTTGAAAGGTTTTGGATACGCCGAATTTGAAGACATAGACTCCTTGCTCCAGGCCCTGAGCCTCAATGAAGAGGTGAGTGGAAACCCCACGGGAGAGGCCCAGCGTGTAGAGGTCCCCACGTGTCACCCTTGCACGCCAGGCACGTGGCTCCCGCTGTTGTGTAACCCTGCGTGTTGAAGATGTATCTTGTAGAGGGGAAGCTAGTGCTGCTGGACAAAGCCTGAAGTGGGGAAGAAAGCTCTTTTTAGGGCCTTAAAATCCTCAGGAGAGCCCCTGTGCTGTCAAAGCTGTGTGCTCTGCTAGGCTGATTTACTGGTGCTGTTTTCAGTCTCTAGGGAACAGAAGAATACGAGTGGATGTTGCTGATCAAGCTCAGGATAGAGGTGAGTCTCGATCTTCCCTGACTCCACAGCTGCCTCTTGCTGAACCCTCCGAGCAGCTGGATTTTCCTGACTGAAGGAATCCCAAGCAATGTGCCGTATCCTCGGGATGCAGCTTTGCCTTCCTGATCCAGCAGACACGGGTGGGATTTGGGTTCACATCAGGCCCAACGCTGGGTCCAAACCTCTTCTAAGCCAGCGCCTGGGCTCAGCTCCTGCCTGCTTTGCCCAAGGACCCAGCTAGGATGTTTTTTCCTGCTGGAACTTATCTAATAATGTTGTGTTGGTGCCTCCCACACCCCTGTGCCGGCCGCATCTCACTAATTGAGGGCTGTTGTCTTTTCAAAGCGTTGGCAGTTCCTACTGATAACATTAATAGCAAAGCAAAGTGGTGAAGTCAGAGAGGCTGGATTGTCCTCGGTGTGTTTTAAGGCACGATTTTCTTGCCCATGCTGAACTCAAACTGCTCTCAATTCACCCGTTTCGGCCGCTGTGACCTGCCTGCAGGCTGAAATTCCTTTCTCTTCCCACGCAGACCGGGACGATCGCGGCTTCGGCAGGGATCGGGATCGCTTCCGTGACTCGGAGAGATTCGAGAGCGACTGGAGGGCCCGGCCTGCCAACACCGAGAGCTTTGATGATTACCCTCCGCGCAGGGGCGATGACAGCTTTGGGGACAGTGAGTTGGCAGAACGCTGCCTCTTTGCTCTCTTGCTGACCTAACACAGCGTTTTTTAAGCTGAGATTCTTTGGCCCATCTTGAGGGGGTCTGAAAGATGCTGAAATCCATTTGCAGCCAGAGGGAAGGGTGGCGTGTGCTGCTTCTGTGTAGGGATTTGCATCCCCTTTGGAGAACTCCTAAGGTTTCTGCGTCCAGAAAAGGGCTTCCAGTCTCTCCTGTCTGGTGTCTGATCAGGTCATCTGTAGTCACAGGCACTTCCCTCCACTAGAAGCACATTTCTTATGGGGCTTTGTGGTTGCTTCCCCTGCATCTGCAAACCAGAACTTTCTCGGGAGCCTGTTTCCTTCTGTAGGGCCAGTTCTTCCTCATTTCCACCGTTTCCTCTGAAAATCAGCATTATCTTGATGTCCAGGTGTGCTTTATGATGCTCTGTGCGACTGGACCCTCATGGCCAGTCCTCTATTGAGGTTATTGCTCAGGGCACATGGGTCAGTTCAGGAGAACAGCGAAGACCTCCCTGCTTTGCGAGGGGTTTGTAACCATAGCAAGCAGAGGAAAATCTTTGCCACAATCTGCCACGTGAGCCCTTAGGTGACAGGTGACACGCTGGCACGGCAGGAGTGTCACCTTGCTCATCCCTCCTCTCCCGCTTCCAGGGTATCGGGATCGCTACGACGATCGGTATCGCAACGGCCCCCGGAGGGACATGGACCGTGGCTTTGGGAGCAGGGATCGTTACGACGACCGCAGTAGGGATTATGACCGAGGTAAGGGGCTCTGCGTGCGGGGTGGGAATTCTGCGGAAGCGCCGTCCAACCCGGCACACTTCCCTCTCATCATTAGGGGAAGCTGAACTGCTTCTTTTCCCCTTCAGGCAACTTTAATGTCCCCTAGTCCTTATCAGAGCCCTGGTGTGGCCCCACGTGGAGGCTTTTTTGAAGACCTTAGTGTGTGGGGAGGCCCCTCTCTGCACCAGGCAGCCTCAGGAGTAGCAGAGCAGCGGGAATAACCAGGCAGAGTTTCCACTTCTCCTGCAGGCTACGATTCCAGGATAGGCAGTGGCAGGAGGGCCTTTGGCAGCGGCTATCGCCGGGATGACGACTACCGAGGAGGCGGCGACCGCTACGAGGACCGCTACGAGCGGCGGGATGACCGCATGGACAGGTGGAATTCCCGGGATGATTACGGCCGGGATGATTTCCGGCGCGACGACAGAGGTACCGGCTCCGCTTGGGAAGGCCGAGGGAAGATGAGAACCGACAGCCCCTTTGGGAGCTGGTCGGGGTGGTTCCGTGGTCTCTCAGCCCCGTTTTCCCTCCCTCCCAGGTCCCACTCAGAGGCCGAAGCTGAACCTGAAGCCCAGGAGCGCGCCCAAGGAGGAGGAGGCCTCGGTGGCCCCCGCGGCCCAGTCCAGCCGCGCCGCCTCCATCTTCGGAGGGGCCAAACCCGTGGACACGGCGGCCAGGGAGTTTGCGGCTACAGAAGGACCAGGAGAAGCTGCAACGGCAGCTGGAGGACGACAAGAGGATAGACAGACGGCCCCGGGAGAGGTGGGCAGGGAGCGGAGCCTTGGCCAGGGATGCGGGATGTGCCTCAGGGATGATGCCCAGGGAGCTGGGTGGCCGCTTGGACAGTCTGGGAAGCCAGAGGTTGATGCTGCCATGGGCTTGTTCCTGCTGTGATGCTTCGATTTGTCCTTCTCCTGATGCTGGGGACCTCTCCCAGGGTCCCCTTGCACGGGGAGCACCCAGTGAGACCTTCTCTCCCTCCGGCACAGGCATCCCAGCTGGCGAAGCGAGGAGAACCACGAGCGCCCGGAGCGGTCGCGGACAGGGAGCGAGTCTTCCCAGACCGGCACCTCCGGTCCCCCCGGCACCTGTGCAGGAACCGGCCCTACGGGCAGAAGTAAGTCGGGGACACGGTGGCCCTGTCACACAGGGCTGGGGACGTGGCTTTGTGCTGTTCTCACTGCTGCCGTCTCCCCCGCAGCCACACGAAGGAGAGAGAGCGAGAAATCTTTGGAGAACGAAACCTTTGCTAAAGAAGACGAGGCCCCGTCTCCCACCTCCAAATCCCGGGAGGAGAAGCAGCCTCTGAAGGTGATGCCTGCCCCGCTGCCCAAGGAGAACGCCTGGGTGAAGCGGAGCAGTAACCCCCCGGGGCGCTCGCAGAGCTCGGATTCGGAGCAACCCTCTCCTACAAGGTCAGTAGGGGCCAGGATTCTGTCCTGGGCCTTGCCCTTCTCCATCCCTTGTGCCAGGAGGCTCCTAAAACCACCACAGCCCATTCTGCCCTGATGGCAGTAAGTGCTTCGCTTGCCTGGGCTGAGATTTATTCCCCAGTTGCAGCCAGACAGCACCGAGCCCGCCCTTGGAAGATGGGATTCCTCCGAAGAACGCTCACAGGAAAGGTAAGACAGGGAGATGTCCTGGCTCTAGGAGCAGCTGGTCCATGTCTTGAAACTCTCGAAGCAAAAGTGATCTTAAAACGTCACCCAGGGGCCCGCTCGGGGCTCATTTCCATCCCTCGAAGCGTGTGGGTGGGATGAGGATCCTCCTTGCATGGTTTGAGGGGACCATGTCTTGAAACTCTCGAAGCAAAAGCAGTCTTAAAACTTCACCCAGGGGCCCACTCGGGGCTCATTTCCATCCTTCGAAGCGTGTGGGTGGGATGAGGAGCCTCCTCGTGTGGTTGAGGGGCTGATGTGAGACCCCCCGGCCTTTCTCCCCGCTCCAGGAGATGAGAACAAACCGGACGGCGGGAAGGAAGGTGGTTCGAAGGTCCGAAGTGGGAGCTCCAGCCGTGGTCCAGGAGATTCAGATAGGTGGGTGCTCCTGGGCTCTCGCTGCAGCCTCCACGTGGGCTTTTGGTGGAAATCCTGGCCCTTGAGCAGTCCTCTCGTTAGCCCCGGCTCTGGAAATGGCCCAATGTGGCCCCGATGGCAGCTCATCCCGGTGCTGAGGCAGGTCTGCACATTGACCTGCCTTCCCTTCCCCTCTGCTCTGCAAACGGGCGCTGTGCTGCGATCCAGGGAGATCCCTGCCCTGTTTGGGTGCAGATCAGGGTTGGATTAAGACCTGGGCTACCCAAAACCCCTTTATGGGCCTGCTGTGGGACACGGGGCTTCCAAGTGCCCCGGTGTGCCTCGTGCTGGGCTCATCCGTGTGGCTACAGCAAAACGACCCCCTCGGGCAGCGCTGCCAGCTCAGCGGCCTCTCATCCTTGCAGGAAAGAAAGCAGAAAGGATCACGAGCCACGACCTGCACCTGAGCCAAAGAAACTCGACGAGAACCCGGCCTCCGTAAGCACCGGGTTTGGGAACGGGGCGGCGGGCGGCACCGGGGGGGACTGTGGAAACACCGAGTCCCAGCGGATCCCGGCACCTCCGGCTGGAATTCACCCCGGTGTTGACCAGTGCTGGGGCAAAACGGGTCCCTTTTAGATGCTCCTTCACCACGACACCCTCCCATCCCCTGCCGAGTGCTTTTTGGCCGGTACCTAACGCCAAAACGTCTCTTTGGGCCCCTCTTTTCCAGCAGTTCAGCCACGCTAGCAAGTACGCTGCCCTGTCAGTCGACGGCGAAGACGAGGAATACGCCGAATAAAACCTCCCGGCCCTGCGCCGTCTCCTAGCCAGCTGCCACCCGGGATCATTTGGAGAGTCAAAACCAAACCTCTACCCAGACGAGACAGAAATAAAGCCTAAAACTCAGCATCTCCTGAAGACCTTTCTTAAACTTTTTTTTAAAAGAGAGAAAAAAAAAAAAAACGCATCAAAAAAAACCCACCTCACGAAATGCAAAACAGGAAACCTCTTGCATGCTGCTGCAGTCTTTAAAGTATTGAACTAACTGGAGAAACCTCTACAAAACGTAGCGGGAGAAGTGCAGGGGTAATATTTTTCCCAGGAAAGCGCCTCCGGCTCGTTGCGGAGCCGAGGCCTCGGAGGTGCCTCCACGGAGCGCGGCCGCGGGATGCGGTAGCCGGGGACTCCGGAGAGGCGCGAGCGCTTGGAGCAATAGGGCAGCCGAGGAAGAACTGGCTTTTCCCCCTCCTCTTCTTGCTAGCCTTTAAAAAATGGATGAATTCTGCAACGCTACCTTAAATAAAAGATCACCTTGAAGGTAGGGACTGGTAGTCTGAGGTTCTTGGAGTTGCGGCTCCGTGGAGGGGGCGTTGGATGGAGCCCGTGGCTTTGGGAAGCCCCCGGGATGCTCCTCGGTTGCGGATGCTCCAGCCCATTCCAACAAGACGTTCCTGGGCGGGTGGGAAGTGTCCGATGGCTCCTTCAGGAACGGCCGGAGCGCTGCGGATCCTGGGCACGTTTCCGCGCGGGAAGCGGCGCTTCCAAGGATGTACCAGGTATCGGCCTCCCCATGGGCATCCCCTTCTCCTGTCCCTCCTCTTCCTCCCTTCCCGCTAATCCCGGGCGGCAGCAGCCAGCACGGAATTTCACTCCCCTTATCCAGCATCCGCTTTTCCCGGCTCCCTCTGGAAGTCCTCTTGCCCCAACCCGCTGCGAAATAGCCCCGAATTGGCACCGATCCGAATCCGATCTCCAAATTGGCCGTTTTAGCAGAATTTCTCCCCTTTGCCAGCTCATGTCACATAGGTTTGGGGACACGGGGCCCAAAATGGAGGTGGCAGCGTCAAGGTAAGGTGACCGTCACCCTCTTGGCAGAGAGGAGCTTCCCTGTGGGAGCCCCTGGCTCCTTTTGAGGACATTGGGGACATTGGGGACGTTTTATTTTAGCGAGTCCAAGAAAAGGTGGCACCGAGGGCTGGGGCTCGGGCCACCTTCACTCATTGTGTTTTCCATGTTCTGTAAAATTTGTACAAAAATATCTTCTATGAGAATGATTTGTAAGCGGTGGTGGCCTCCCTGGGAGATGTCTTTTATGATGTAACCCCCTCACCTGGATTCTTTGGGGATTTTTTCTTCGTTTTCTTTTGTTTCCTCCAATAAAGCGAATCTTGAAAACACCCTCGAATGCCCCCGGCGTCTGCAAGTCTCTGGCTCCTCTCCTGGCCGGAAAACGGGAGCCCTTGGAGCTGCTTTTCCAGCCTGGAGGGAGGTCCCTGGGTCCTGGAGGTGGCGGGTCCCACGCGTGGCCTCATTCCATCCTG